TTGTCGATGATATTTGAAATGATTTGCTCGTCCCCCATTTTCCCATGGGTGTACGCTGCTGATTTGAGCAAATGCAAAGACTATTTTTCTGCGCGTGCTTGTTATTTCTGGTCGTGTAAGATTTGTTAAATAAAAGGAACTCTTTACCTACGATGTATCAATGTTATGTTATAAAACAAATGGTAAACACCACAGCATACACTATTGAGTTATGGATGCACTTGGGAGGTTTGCTAAGTACTCAAGAAGCTAGAGTCGCTCTCGGCTATCGCCTCAAGCAACTCTTATGCTTCTTTCGTGCTTAGCAACCCTCCGAGTGCATCCATAACTCAATAGTGTACGCTGTGGTGTTTACCATTTGTTAACTGGTCATGAGATACCCTAGTCACAGATTTGAAGCAAAAGTATTGCACTATCCAAACCTTTGTTGGCTTTCATTATCATTCATGCTGAAATTAGTTATATGACAAGCTAGATAGGGCTAATGGGGAGTGCTCTACTCTGGAACAATGCATCCCTAAGTTCCTTGTCTGTCATTATTATTTTACCAAGGGAATTAAAACATAATTTCTCGAAGCTGGATAGAGCTTTTTTTCTGATGCCACCTACTTTTTATGCTTCACATTCAAGATGGTTTTCTGTGATCAGTAAACAATACATATCTAGTAGAGGATGCTTTGTGTGAGGGTGCAACATTGTTTCAAAAATGTTTCAATTCCTTTTGCTTTTCCCCTACTTTGACAGCAAATTGTTCATTTAAGTCTGGGACTGGAATGAAGTTATTTCATTTCAGTGTTTATAATTTTTATATACAGGTGCATTATTGTCTAAAATACTTTCATATGTTCTCATTTCTAGGCATTTTGCAGCCTAAAACGGACTTGTCCAAAGGCTTGTTTGGCCGTGTAGATGTAAAGTCCTTCACTGAGTAAAAGTCATCAAAAGCAACAAATAAGGGAATGTTTAGCAAAAAGAGAAGAGGTAGCCAAAAGAAAAGATGAAGACTGCAATGATGAAGAAGTTGTTATCTCTATTTAGGATCTAAGTGCTATTTTCTTGTGGGTACCGAGTACACGTACCATCCCATGTCGTGTTAAACTCCACATGTAAATAAACTGCTTATTTAACATGTTTAATTACTAATGATGTACTTAGTAGAGCACAGATAATTTGGGTTGATGTCTGTTTTGCTATTCATCATTTACAAACAATATCTTTTTTTTACAAATCATCACACACAACTGTTATGAAGAATGCTAACATAAAACACCTTTCAGGGGTGCCAAATCCTGAGAAGCCTTGTACTTCTTATAGGGGCAGTTTCTGCAGAAAAAACTCTCATCAAAGATGCAGCGACTGGAGATGTAAAACCAATTAAGAACAACTTTGACTTTAACTTTTAAATCTATCAACAACCAGAGCCCAGAGGAGTCTTTTATTTCTAATGGAAACTGTAAGTCAGGTGCTCCCATTGTAGGCAAATTGCAGAAGAATGCTATAAAGCTCCAATGCTTTCCTCCAGTCATTGGGTTTTTGAAGACCACAAACATAATAAACATCATCATCATCATCATCATCATCATCGTGTTTATTTCTTCAAGCAGGTTGAATTTATTGGCAACTATATAAGCTGATGTGGACTTGCTGTTTTCCCACCCAACCCNAACCACAATCAAGGTGAGTATTTAGCCCGTGCAACACGTCTTTCAGTATATTTTAGCGTATGTAAGGCTTGATGGCATGTTTATTCTTATTTAGTCTTACTTTGATACTCTTTCTACATTTTCTTAGGCCACAAGTGGCACAGAAATGGAATTAAAAAGCCCAAGAAGCAGCGATTTCCATCTTTGAAAGGGGTATGTTTCCGATGAGTTAATTTTTTTCTTTTACAGATTTAGATAGGTTTACTCCCTTTAAATATCTCGATTTAGTTTTTGTTTATGCATGGTTATAACGCAAACTTCGAGTCATCAAAAATATGTTATAAGTGGAAAGGGGAAGCCATAATTATGTGACTCGAAATTTGCGTTACATTGCGTGACTTAGGAAAGAGGAACATTGAACTCATCTCTCTCTTTTTATTTGGAATTATGTACCTCAATCGAACCTTGATTTTGATGGTCTTAAATGAAGACGTGTTAAAAACTTTGGCTAAACTTCAGAATACCAGGCCACTTAATATGCATCGTTAAATAGCTGCTCCCACAGTCCCGTAGTCACCAAATTAAATAGAACCCACACATACTAATATACACTCTTTATTCTTCGGTAAATGGAAATTGAAATTGCAGTTAAAAGTTGGGACTGTGGGAGCACTATTTAAACACAAAGGCACGCTTTCAAGGGAGCCTTAGGTCCCACTGAACCATTTGTCAATCAACTGTCGTGTGATGTGCAACTCTTTAGAGTCAAATCAGCTTGAGCTACAGCTACTTCAAAGCAGTGAGCAGAGGGCGCATTCCTCAAAATTGTTTTATGTCTTCATCACAATACAAGAATTTTGAGATTTGTATTTCCTTTCTCCAGTAGAAACTGTCTTTATTAGTGGCGGTAAATTTGAGATCGAAGAAGGTGGTTCGCACGTTACCTCATGCCACCATGCTGGTGGAAGTAAACAATAGATATCTCATTAGCTCCTTTAGTTTGTCTACCAGCATTTAAATTTGACACGCACAGGTCAACGGTGAGTGACAAATGAGCCTATGTCTTCCCAGGGAAGACTTCCTTATATAGCACGCCTTCGTGTTTAAACTGCCCTATCTTTTAATTATTCTTTGACATCGGGAGTGTGGGACTGTGGGAGCTCTAGTTTAACTGCCCTCTCTTTTAATTATTCTTTGATGTCAGGAGCACAGAACTGCAGTAGCACTAGTTTATCTGTCCTCTTTTTTAATTATTCTTCAACTTCAGGAGCATGGGATTGCAGGAGCACTATTTTAACTGCCCTCTCCTTTAATTATTTTTCGACCTCAGGAGCACGGGAGCAATCGATTTGCTAATGTTTAAAAGTGGCCGGGTATTGTGAAGTTGCTCTTAAACCTTTTTTTTTTTTTAGTGTTGAGTATAGAAAGTTAAACAGAGGGCCTAGGTAAACTGCAGAATGCCCAGTCACTCATATTCATGTCATTAAAATAAAAAATAAATAAACTTTAATAGCTGACACAATTACTGGTAACCCAGTAGTTTACATTGTGGGCTACAAACAAATAATTCAAACTGAACACAACATTGTTAAGAATCCCAACTGGCTGGAGGCAAACCAGTAGGCTATTTACAAGCATGGCCGAGGATTTGAACTCTGATCTACCGTGAAACAAATCCAGGTAGTGGCCAGGGTGGGACTCGAACACGGGAGCGACGGATTGCAAGTCCGACATGCTGCCTCCCCTCGTTGAATAAGAGAAGTGTCTATTGTGTTGTGCTTCATTCTTCAAAGCCTCCCCACACATGTAAATGAAGTTGCTAAGAATTCTGAAGTTGCTCCAAGGATTTTTGGTCTAGAATAACTTATGGACATGAGTGGTGTACTTTCAAAATATATTGCATCAAGGTCTTCCTGTGACTTTCTTGGTGTTAAAAGTTGGTGGTCATTTATAATGGTCAACTACAATTCTAAGAAGGAAATATGATCGCTTATCCCATGGTGTAGTCACTTCCATTCTGATTTGCTAACTTTCTAAGGCCTACTCTAGTTCATTTAACGTAATTAGCTTTTGGTTACACAAAACTCAAGAACAGCAGGGCAATCCTTTACCCATACAAAATTGATATCCTCTTCAATTTAAGTTGTTATATAGATATCTCTTTGAATAAAGGGCACTGACATCTATGACATTTGCAGTGACTACACCACAACTGGGAATTTGTCAAAGCAGGAACATAGTGTAAAATGAAAAGAGCATATTCTAGAGAATTCTGTGTTTTGGTGAAAGAATTCTCTGGAATTTGAGAAGTAGTAAACATCCTGTACTTTGAGTGCACTATTTTTGATTTGAACATTTGTAAACAGCCATGTGTTTGCATGAGGATAATTTGCATAGAAATGTAGAAGTCACTGCGTGGACATTTAAACTATGAACCACTCTGTTCACTGAACTCTTGTGCTCCTCGTCAGCTTAACCTTATCACTGTCTAGATCCCACCAGTGATTCTACTCACTATCTGCCATTCAATTCTCGTGATGTTAGTTTTGAGAATTTGACATTGAATCAACCAATCATTCTCTTAAGGTTATCGTGCACCTTCAGGGGTGTCTTGCGAGCAAGCGATGTAGCGCGTCCGGTTTAAACTGTAGATATCTAAACTATCAAATTAAAGCTTATAGGACTGGCTATCAGACTATACCAAAAATTTTGAAAAAAAATGAATTGCTGAATTTTTCACGACTTCTGAACGCGAGCGCCCGAATCACCTTTTAAGAGCTACAAGTCAAAGGGAATTTGTTTGATTGCTCTCAAATTTTGACAGTAGCTAGTTTTACATATAAACAACAAAACCTTGTCTCTTAATTATATATTTCTAAATATTTTTTTTGCGAGAGCAATTTTTGTACAATCACTCCACATTTTTTTTAATCCTATTTCAAAAATGTTCTGTAACTTTTCACTGAAATTTAATATGGCAAATCGCAGACACGTTTTTTTAGCGGTTTGGCCCTGGAAATGGAGGAACACATTAAATAAGAGAAAAACAAAATTTGCTTTGACATGTAACGTTCAAAAGGGGATTTAGGCGCTCACATTTAGAAGTTGTGAAAAATTCGACAATTTTCAAAATTTTTGGTATAGTCTGATAGCCAGTCCTATAAGCTTTAATTTGATATAGGGGTTTAGATAGCTACAGTTTAAACCAAATGCGCCACATCGCTTGCATGTGAGACACCCCCGAAGGTGCACGGTAACCTTAATCTATCATCACTTGTTCACTCGTGGGAGATGAGGAGTTAAAAAATTTGTAGAGTTAACCACTGTTATGTGTAAAGGCAGCCTTCCTACCAATATGCAAAAGTGTATTTAATATTTCTCTTTGAAGGCACTTGTGTGTTGAAAACATGAAAGTTTGTGTGCACTTGTCCAAATGTGCAATCAGATGGCCGAGTTATTTTTTCTGACATTATTATTATCATAATGGCAAACCAGTCCCTTCAAACTCTTTTAGGAAAATTGTGCGCAGTTATAAAGTAATTTTTTACATTATTGTGGTTTTAATCATGAGTGAACTTTAAATGCTTCACTTAATGGATTAAACGTGAAATCTACACTCTCTGATGTACTATTCCAAGGCAATCTGAGCTAAATTTTGACAGATCATTCCATTCAAACACTTTAAAATTTAATTCTGTGCACTTGGCTATGAGTTATTTTGTTCATGTTACAGTACATGTAATAATGAGTGAGCACTGAATCCTCCCCTGAATGAAGTTTACTCTAAATCTTCACTTGTCAATGCATGCTCCCAGACAAAATCAAAGCAAGAATTAATTAATAGTAAATGCCACCATCAACCTGGGTATTTCAAACTTGAGACTTGATAGAAATATTATTTTTGAGTACCCAGGCACCTAAATTTTCTGATCAAGAGATTTGTTAGATTGTCCTCTAAGTCTTACAAGTAATTTACTTGGTTGACATGCATTGTGTACTACTACGATCAAATTTCTCTTTTGTTATCCTATAAACTAACCTTGGTTGTTGTATTTGCTTTTTGTTTTTTAGGTCGACCCAAAACTCCTGAGAAACATGCGTTTTGCTAAGAAACATAACAAGCGCCATGGTGGAAAGGCCGTGAATATGGAATCCTAAGCTTTTGTTTGTGGAATAAAAAAGATGTAAATAACTCTTCCCGGTGTATTATATGTTTTGGGCCTTTTAAATGTCTCCATACCAGCCATTTGGGAGTTCCTTTATTTAAATTTTGTTGCTTAACAGGGGTGAAAAAGTTTTAAAATGAGTGAAATCCACTGAAAGTTTCAATTAGTAGCCCATGGATTTAACCTTTAATCTCCAGAAGTGATCAACACATAATTTCTCCCCATAATATCCACACATATCCATCAAACAGGTGACGAGAATACTAAAACTTATGGGGTAGAAGTTATCTGGTTCTCAAAACTAATTTACAAGGAGATTTTTAAAAGCTAGAAGGGAGAAGAGACAATCAGATCTTGATTGTTAGAATGTTGAATTTCAGGGCCAGTTGATTTCCCTCCAAGGGTGCAAATCTAATGAGAAGAATGAACCCTTTCCACCCTTACATCAGTATGTATATTCCTACGGTGGCCCATAAGTGTCACGTCAAAACTCCCGCAATTCCCTCGACGGAAGTGAAATGCTACGGCGGAAGTACTGTGACATTAAGACCATAATACTGTTTATTGGGGTGGCTCGTGCTCCAAAATCGACACGACTTGTACAATTTTTCTGTGGTTCCCTTACCCCGATTTATCGTGTTTTGTCCAAGTTGCGACCAAGAACTTCTCTCTGAGGATGCCAAATACTGTCATCTCTGTGGAAAAGGTACGTTTATGCTTCCATCGGTGATTAAAGTAATTCCAGGAAACGTTTTAGACAGAGTTGATCCTGGGAGTTGATGCACTGCAGATCACATACAAGGGCATTCGCTAGCCGTTCGCAGTTTCTCAATAATAAACAAACTAAATGGCATATCAAAGCATAGATAACGAACGAAAATAACCGCTTAAGCACAGAAGAATTCAGTAAAAATTATTGCATATATTTGATTCCTAGATTTACTCAAATTGTACTAAACTTCGTATCAACTTTCTATAAATGTCCTTGATGTTATGTGCTGACACGAATTCATTACGTTAAATACAAGTACAGCGGTTCTTTTACTTTAATATTTCCAATGTCCATTAGGAGTCGCTACTTTATATTACATCTTTTGCGATAACAACAATATCAAATAACAGGAAAAAAAAAAAAGTTGCATTGCACTTAAAAACTGTGTTTATATTTTCCCGCCAATCCGGGGTAGGTTAGGGCAAGATTTACTTGTCGTTGTTGAAAGATGTGCCAGTTTACACGAGCAGTTTTTGTGACCGTCACGGTTTTTATTTGAAAATTTTCATTTCCTCTTGTGGAAGAGGAAAATTTATCAAATTTTATGTGACAGATGATATATTTTCTTAGAAACCGACATGTTAGCTTTTATGTGACAAATAAAAGTTTCATATACGAACAAATTGCTCTTGTAGATAGACAAGATGAGGCAATTATTGGTTCTGTCCTCGTGTACCGGTTCAAACCATAGCTTTCAATTCGCCATTTTAAGGTACTTAGGCTCATTTGGATATCGTGATTTTTCTGTAAAAACAAACGAATCTCTTCGTACTCGAAGCCCCTGAAGAAATAATAGCGTCACCCGTCGCCTCTTACTTTCGCAATGTGACTTGCGGGAGTTTTGCCGCGAGTTGCGGGAGTTTTGCCGTGACACTTCTGGGCCACCGCAATATTCTCCATACTGTTTTGTATACATTTCCTGTGCCTAATGAGGAGAATTTGTTGGTGATCATTTCCTCTTTTCTTGAGACCTTAGTGTTATTGTAAGTTGGTTGTCTCAACTACTAGTATACACTTGAGTGATGCAACAATTCAAACTTTTCATTCTTCATGAAAAATATTTTTTAAGACAGACCTTTCCTTTCAGGAAAGCTTGGACACTGCTTTCATTATTCTCTACATTCAACTTGTTGTGGTTATTGCGTATATCTGACACATAAAGCCGTATGGTCTCTCTTTTTAGGTGTTGACATTTTTGCAATCAGGGGTATATTGATACTTATACCACCCTGTGACTTTTTCTGAGATGTATGTTGGTAGAACGCAGTGTGAATAATGCCATTAGATATGCATTCTACTTTTTTTGTTGCTGATATTTGAGTGTTACTTAAATACAGATTACTGGTATTGTGTTTTGATATTATACAGAAGTGAACGTCCAAGATTGCTCAAACAGCATTTCCATGCTAAAAATAAGCAGTCCATTTTTTGGGCCCGTCTATTACGATTGGATCACTTTAAACAGGATTTTCCCTTTTTCTTGTACAAATCAAAAACAATTAAGAAAACAATTATCTTATATTGTTACAAACACCCTATTAAGACAGATTTCTCTGCTTGCAAAAAAGGCAGTCAACACTAACAGCAAAACAGTACATGTCAATAACAAAGCAATCACTTGATTTCCAATACACGTAACATTTAATAGAAAAGACTTAAAAAAATAACTCATAAAAATTGCACTGCAGATTAATTTTGGTCAGGTTCAGTTTCTAAATTAGATATATTTTTATTGGACTTCCAGTAAAAGGTATGTAAATAAGTTACAGTGGTTTGTATTACACAACTTGTTCAATAAATTACCAAACTTAACAGAATATGTTATTAAAGTTATATCATGGTCAGGGAATACTACATCACAAAACTTGGCTGCTAACAAGTTAAGGTAATGTTTTACATAAAAGAACTTATAAAGTCAGTTTTCCCAATACAGCAGTCTAAGTAAAATGAGTAGTGGTTGTTGCTTTAATTTTAAATCCCAAGTTAACAATCAGTTTCAAATATCTAATTCCTATTGATCTAATCTCCCTTGTGCTGAATCCAAATTGAGTTATTTGTCAATTACATCTTGAGAAAAAGCTACTTTTAAAAGTGTCTCCCTGTAGACAAACCTTTGATTTGTTCTAACACAGAAAATCTAAAGCTTGAAGCACCATGAAGTGACTGATAACTGCTACAGCAACTAGATTCCTTTAGAAACAAATTCAAAATCACAGCATCTGTAGCCATTGACAATTACTCTAACGGCGAGCGCTGGACCATTTTCCCAATCTCTTTGCCAAGGCATTCTTTGCAGCTTGCACACTTGGTTCAGCTACTACTGCATCTTCACCTCCAATATCTTCAACTTTGCAGTATTTAGTTGTGTCATAAGATCCCAAGTCAAGCAGGTGCAGATATGTCTAAAGGGGATGGAAATAAAAGGGGGTTGAACAAGAGCTGCACAGATGCAATGAACTCAAGCTGAAAAGAAATATGACTATATAATTATATGCTCTCAGCTTTATAGGTGCAGAAATAACTCCACAATTTCCTATACCTACTGTACCTTAAGTAGCTTAATACATTGGCGGGGGGGGGGATATGTTGGTTGAGTGGTTGGATAGTTGTACAGTTGTATGAGAGCTGCACACACAGATGCATTGAACTCAAGCTTAAAATTATTAAGATCATGACAATTTATATATACATATATATATATATATGCTCCCAGCTTTATGGGTGCAGAAATAACTCCAGTTTTCGATTTCCTCTACCTACCATTGCTAGGTTAGGTTCATGGGTGACTAAGTAGTGGTATAACTAAGTTAGGCATGTAGGGTCAGGAGATTAGGTGGTGTGGGGGGAGGAGGAAGGGAGTTAGAAAGGTTGGTTGGTAAGGGGCAAGACATCTTAGTGTGCTAAACAATTGCATGGGGTAAAACCAAAACCAGATCAGTCAACTGGGATCAATGACAACAACAGTAACAGAAGAAAATCAAAACAAGACTGTCATGGTCCTAATTGGTTTTTGTTAGCATGTAACAATCTCAAAGCAAAGTGGAATAAAACCAATGCAGTCCTACATCTCATCCATAAATCTTTTTAATATAATACAATTTTTAAAGTCTGGAAGTCTTCAAGACCCTTTGAGAGGTTACTACAAACCTCTTCACGGAGGTATTCATCCATTCTTTTGCGAAGGTTCTCAAAAGGAAGACGGAAGTCAGGATTAAGATGCCAACATCTTTTTACCATATCATACCTGGAATTAAAGAGGACATGATATTCAAGACTAAACTGTGTTTTCAGACAGATAGATAGATAGAGTTCAGAAATTCTAGGAACATCCAGTACAGTATTGTAACTGGAATGCCATTTGTTTTGGGACATGAAACAATAAGCAATCGAAGGCACTCATTGATTTCTTTGGAGTGTGTCCCTTGTTAGAACTAATATCTTGACTGCTTTGTTGCCCTTTCAATCCCAGGTATCTCCAAATAAGGAATTTCCCCTGGTAACATTGATTTTCTTTTAAGCAGAAAGATGATTAGAAGAAATAGCAAAAAATATAATTGTATTAATGATGGGATTAACACTTTACACCTCAACACCAGTATGGATATTCTCCATTTACTGTTTTCTATACCTTTCCTAAGGTGCTGACAAGGAGGATTTTTGTTGACAATCAAGAGCTTCCTAAGTTAGTGATCAATTTTTTTTCATCTTACTGTTTATTCAGGGGTGAAGCGCTGAGGGGAAATTAGATGCTACCGTAGTCACTCTGAGGGGGTCATAGGGTTAAATTCTTGGAGCTACTAGAATTCAAAGAAATGTATGGCAGACCCTGCTGAAGATAGATAGTTAGAACTGATCTCATGAGACAATCTAACAAAAAAGTGGTAATTAATGGTCATTGTTTCATGACATCATTTACTTCATTCAATAATAAGAGAAGCATTTGGATTAGTCCATAAACAGTTTTTTTGGGGGGAGGAGGAGAGGGTTTGAAGGAATTTTTTATGAAACATGGTGATATCTTACTGGAAATGTAATTACGACTCACAGTTTGTCATCAATATGATTGGGTTTTGGCATCTGATACCCTCGTGTGACCTCTGCAACCACCTTGCCTTCTGACCATCCATCGTATGGAATTCCTCCTGTCAAGAAATAGAAAGACATGCACATCACTGGTATCCCTACTACATATTGTTTCTAAACTTGTTGCGTCAGAGATGTGCAATTTTCTGAGTGGGAGTGCATAAAATTATATGACACCAACCTTCATGATAATATTTGTCATTGAACATAGTTTGACTTACCAAGGGTAAAAATCTCATAGAGAACAATACCGTAGGACCATCTAAAAATATATAAAAAAAAATCTCATTTACACTATCAGCAAAGTTTAATTTGGATATAAAATGGGGTTGATCTTGCTTCCAACATATTGGTTGTGTGTCGGTTGGCACATTGGTATTGTGTCGGTTGTACATTGGCCGACGCGTTGGTCGACGCATTAGTGGAATTGGATTCTTTACTTAATTAACCCAATATAGCATGTTATACTTACACGTCACTCATGGTGGAAAGTCCAGCAAGGTTTCCCAAAAGAATCTCTGGTGCAGTCCATTTAATTGGCAAACAGCCCTGTGAAAACAAACTGTATCACTTGGGTTTGGTTTGTTCAATTAAAAATTATGCTTTGCCTACTGACAATACTTACTGAATACATGTATGTACAATGGACATGCAGATCAGTATGTATACAAACTATCTGTTAAGTTATCAACATTACATCTCCTTGGGCACTCAAGAGGTTACAAGTTATTACAATTTTTTTCAAGTTTACATTCAAGCAAATACAATATACATATTGCTTGCAGTTAGCTATGACTACTCAAGGCAAGTGGTGGTTTTAACACATAACAGAATAGTTAACCTAAATCAGTAGCAATAACACAGCAATGCATCATGAAAATTAAGTTAGAGTAACTGACATGTATCTTAAATGTAAAAGGGTCTTTAGTTGGCAACTGAACAATTAATAATTACCATCAATTACGACACAAAACCAAGAGAAATATGTGGGACTAGCTATACGTACACCTTTACAAGAAAAGAAACAAGATTATTGTACAGTATTGTTACTGCCGTTACGCGTGATGTCACGCACTCATTAGCTACATCCCGAGAGGCGTTGCGAGTTAAAAAAGGAAGCAAGTGCTCGATCGAAGTGGGAATCGTTTCATCGCCTGTTTAACCGTCATCGTTTATATTATAAGGACACAAACGTAAGTTATTTTAGTTTCGTTTCTTGTTTGTCTAGTCTGTTTCCGGATTTATAGCTGTAATTTCCTTTGTTACTTTTAGTTTTCGAAACCGTACAACGTTCGTTCAAGATTGTAAAGTCCATTTTATAATTACAAGTACACGTGTCCAAGTTTGTGTTGTCGAACCGTTTTATGCATGCACAAGTATTAAGAAAAATTTTGCATAAAAAAAAGGAAAATGAGAAATTATATCACTTTAACTTAAACAATCACGGGGTTTAAGGTCCGGCTGTGATTTACTGTATGGGAAACTTGTCAAAAATTCTGTGCAGTATATCTAACAAAAGCCCATATAATTATTCTAGAGTACCGGTACTACAGTGGAACTGTATTGGCATTTCAGGCATTTGAGGCATTTGTGTTTTATGCCATATCAATACAGATCTTTAACAAACTTTTAACAGAGACATTTCAATAAACTGAAGCAACACAAGGTCTTCACCTTTTTCGCATTTCCATGACCATACTTGAAGCTTTGATATGCCAAACCAAAGTCGGTCACTTTGCAAACGTAGTTGTTATCAAGAAGAATGTTTCGAGCTGCAAGGTCACGATGAATTATCTACCAAAAGAGAATGATCCTGATGATGAGCAACTATACACTAGCATAAAATTTTAATTTTTTTCACATCTGAAAAGTTTAAAAGATTAAACCACAATCGTTGAGATTGTCTTTGAATTAGAATTGATTGTGAGAAGCATTTTGAACACTTACCCCTCGTGATCCAAGGAACACCATACCAGCAGCAATTTGTTTGGCAAATAGCACAAGGTCATAATTGTTCAACTCTTGAGCCCTTCCCTCTCCAAGGTAATACCGATCCTTAACTCCTCGGCATTTTCTTACGTAACCAAGCAGGTCACCACAGGGCATGTATTCCATGATAAGGATTGGTTGAGCTTTATAGTGTAAACAAATAAGAAAATGAAAACAACAAATTTAAGATTAAAGAGTGAAACTTTAGGAAGAAAACAGATCATCTCAACCCCATTAAAAGCTTTTGAAAAAATTTGGTTCTTTGACAGACTATCTTGGATAAAAGGCTCATACAAAAGGACCCTATTAGGATCAGTACAACTTTGTGGAGTATCATCACTTGCATATACCAAGAACAACATCTCAACCCTTTTCCTGCCAAGATCTCATTTGTAATTTTTATTACATTCTGCCATACAACTCCTATGGAACATTTGGTATCGGATCAACTAATAACCCATGCCGCTAATTGACCTTTTTCTTCATTCTCATCACTTTCCTGCTTGACATTGTGTAGATAATGTTAGGAGAAATTCTGTCTTGATCAATCATGAGAGCTTAAGCTTTTAAGTTAAGTATTTACATTGTGTGGTGACGCAGCCAATGAACTTTACGATATTTGGCTGAATGCTTTCGCCAAGACGTTTTCCCAGCTCAATTTCTCTCATCAAAGCTTTCCTTCCTTCCTCTCCAGCAGTGGCTACAGTAACAGGATATATTTCATATCAAGTGAAACAATGTTATCAAGTCTATTCTTTCCAAGTTTGAGACAGAGGGAAGAAACTGGCTGGAACATTACTTAATTTAACTTAGCTATATTGCCAACAACTTCTTTGTATTACTAATAAGTTTGTGGAGGATACAAATGCAAAACTACAACTGGTTTACAAGGACTCAAATCTTTGCACAAAACTCCAATGACATTTAATCTTTATTTTAATGACCCCATAGTCATGACCATGCAGTGCTTAGCACCAAGTTGCTTATTGTGGTTGTCATTTTTGAATACTGACACCTTTTACTAGATGTGTTGTTAAAAAGCCACTTTGTACTTAATCGGTTGGTCAGAGAGCCTTTCAAAACTTTGGATAAAGAACATAACTGGAAAGTACATGAGGGATCACCTAATTCAAGCGAGAGACACTACACTACTTATTATTATAATCAGAAGAGAGAATTTGCAATTACTGGACCTGAATTATGGACAGATAGAGCAGTTTGAGATAATCTTACGAGTGAAGCATTTAGCAGCCACAGTCCTATTTCCAGGTTTTCCATTTGGTGAACTCAGGAGAGCTCTCCACACTGCTCCAAAAGCCCCTCGCCCAATGACCTCTTGAAGCAGGACACGTTTAACTTCAATCTCCCACTCATCAACTTCTATATTCACCAACTCCATCTCAACTGCTTGCTCTTGATCAGGACTAAATGGAAAATATTATACATTTCTATCAATAGCTTAAAGTGCAAGTTATAAAGAAAAACAAAGTCAGGAAAAAAGTTTCGAGTCACCAAATAACAGATTAGCCCAAATTAAATGCATGGGGATATTATAACCTGTCCTCTTGACTACATTTAGCAATTACAAACAGGTCCCTTTCTTGTACACGCAAGAACAGCTAGTAGACATAACTCCTTTCATGGAAAGCAACTATCCAAACTGAATGGACAGCACAATATAATGATAACATTTAAATCATAACTCTGATGTTTGTGTAAATCAAATAAGAGGAGTTCAAACAGTTTCCATCATAAAAGAGCAATGAAATCTGTTAAATCAATTTCTGTATCTTTAGTAAAACTTAACACGTTAAAATTAATTGGAACAAAAACACATGAAAGATACCCAGAAAAGACAGGAATACTGAGAACCAATGAGGCCAATCTAAACATCATCTGATGACAAAAAATACAACAATACTGTATACTCAAAGGCTTTGAGTATACAAATTTTATCTATTTAGTAAAAGATGTAAAATAGTTGACTTACAGAGCCATGGCTTTAATTCCAAATAAAAAATTAATGAAAGAAGGAAATAAAGAAGGAAAAAAGTTTGTCATTAAATCAAGTACTCTGCCTCATGAATTTCTATGCACTTTCAGAGCATATTGATTTGAATTTGAACAAAATAATAACAATCCTGATAGTGCTAGAGTTGGTGCCAACATCATAAAAAAATACAATGCAATATTGATTGTAATCTCAGAGTTCTTTGAACTGAAAAGTTGAAATGGTCTGTGATAGCTAATTAAACTCAATAATATCCAAAGACAAGAAGAAAGTAAGAATTGAAACAAGTCGTGTCAATGTTGGCTAAAAATTTATTTGTTTGTTTGGTTGCTTGCAAACCCTGATAATATCTGATACTGGGAGTAAGCCTGGGGAAACAATTTGACTGTGGGGAAGGAGTTGGGGGAAGGGGGAGTAAAGATTAACTAGACAAGTTTATAACCTACACTTCTCACAAAATTGTTTTCAAGAGACCTGAACATAAAAAAATACCATTGACATTAAGGATTACCTGTCCTGCGACGTTTCCAGGCATAGCAGCCAATGGGAAAGATAAGGATGACCGCAGCCATTGATCCAACAATGTAATACCATAACAGAGCTGGCTTTGCTCCTGGCGCTTGCAGGGCTGGTTGTGTCAGAAAAATATACATGGCCATTAGAAAAATTACAACAGTTAGCTACATGGGTATATGTGATGATAAAGCTAAGGTCAGGATTATCACAAAAACAAAGCTGCCAGCAAAATCTGACGCATGAAAAAGCGGTGATTGCTGGCTGGATTTTTGACCAGGGATCACTCAGTAAAGCACAACAGCACTAAAGCTCTTGTAATCGTTGGCCATATTTTATCCAACTCAATTGAAATCTCAGCTGGCAGCCTAATTTCCTGGCTACAATCCTGCACATAAGGTCATATCCCAGTATTGCATTAATGTACATGTCCACTGCAAATTATTTCACATGGGATCGGATTTTGCTTGTAGCAGTACAAAAATGGAAGAGAATTAAGTTGTCCATTTCTTGATGATGATGACTAACGACAGAGTTTATACTCTTTCTTGAAATACAAATTTTTTTTTTTCTGTTGTGCAGAATAGGAAGCCATGTCAATAGCATTCCAGTCAGTTTGAGATGAGCTCTTAAACTACCAGTAAATGCAAAACTGTCATCTTAATCTTTGAGCCTTGGCTGAAATCACCCCATTTTCCCTTACTACCTTGGACCTCAAGTTTCTAAAGTAAAGCAAGCTTACCTTTGACATTTATTGTCACAGCAGAGTGGGCCATAATGCCTAGTTCATTACGTGCCTCACAAGAATATTCCCCACTGTCCTCCTCCACAACTTCCGCAATAACAAGTCTGCTCTCGGACTCATCTAATTGCGTGTCAATATCTGCCTTATCTTTCATTGGTTCCCCATCTTTTTTCCAAGTAACAGTTCTTGTTGCTTCATTGACGCTACAGGTTAATTGCAGCATATCTCCTGGTGTGAGTGTGGGATGTGGATTAAGACTGACTTCAGCTGTGGGTTTTGCTGTGTGGACATGGAGACAATAGATTAAAAACCTGCTGTTTCATACAAACAAGGATTGTTGTTACATGCCATACTTTAAAACTGCCACTTTCAACTCCATCCCAACTTTTAAGTGACCTCCACCCCACTGCTTATAGGCCCATTCGGCCATCTACTTGTAAAAAAAAATACAGTTATAAGCAACCCCCAGGAAGAAAGCCCTCTGGCTCTTCCAATTCTTAAATAATTGTTGCAGAACAATATGTTTATTACAATTAATTGTTTATAACTTCCTTTTAATTGTCAAAGATGAACTTCAAGGGACAAGTCTGAGCTTCCGTTTTGTTATGTTCCAGTTTTGGTAAAGTAAATAAAGTAAAGTCTTAAGCACTCTAAACAACAAACGTGTTTAGTTACAATGATAAGGTTGAAATCGGACGTGAGCATTATCAGGCGCCTCTGGCAGCCGCTTCAGTCCTTGTAACGATCTCACCTCCCCACCCATCCCACCCCAGGGGAGGACATCCACTACACAGTAATCTCGTGCGTGGGAAATTAACGTCTCCTACCCCTAACCCTGCAGGAGACGGGGCCTACGGTTTATTCGTCCTTATCTGAGAAGACTAGAATATCTATCCATTTCTTGGTAGCAAATTCTCCTCAGTTATTTTAAGACCATGAGTATTGGTCTGGCCGGGGCTCGAACCCTCGACCTCCCGCACAACACAATCAGGCGCTCTAACCAATTGAGCTAACCGGGAGGTGGTTAGCTCAATTGGTTATTGTTCATCTTGCTTTAATTGACCGTTCCATATGTATTGAAATGAATTTGATTATTATGGCTTTTTAAAACTTACTTAAAGCCCAGTAAATGCAGAACATGTCTTGATCAGCACTGCTTTTTATAATAGCTTGTTTCCGAGCACTAATTTTATTTTCTAGATATAAGCCATTCCAGATGTAAGCCCCTTCGTCCATAAGCCCTCCTAAAACCCCATATGAAGTAGTATAAGCTTAAGGCTTATGAAAAACAGTTTCATTTGTATCTCAAAAACATGTTACATCTAATACAGTAAATGGTTTCAACCCGGGGGTAACATGTGAAAGTGTAGTCTGATCGTCCGGGTGAGTGTAGTCCTGAGAAGGACTGTTATCGGTGGTAGTGACTGACGTTTCGACAACCTGTGCGGAAGTCATCATGACTCTGATGATGACTTTCGCACAGCTTGTCGAAACGTCAGTCACTACCACCGACAACAGTCCTTCTCAGGACTACACTCACCCGGACGATCAAACTACACCTTCACATGTTACATCTAGGTTGAGGCAGGGTAGATGATTGCAAATTTTGATATTTGATCATTACATTTCACATCTTTACCAAAAACATGAAGCATTGCGCAGGAACTTGTCATGTTTGCTTTGTTTGTAGCTGTACACCTATATGTCCCCTCCATCTTCTTTGTGGCATTTCGCAATTCCAGGAATGATTCTCCTTCACGATTGGTTTGACTGATACCAGACGGCAGTTCTCCATCATTGTATGTCCACACCAAAGTTGGTGTCGGAATACCTGATGCTTTGCAACTTAAGTTCACAGGTTGTCCTTCAGGTACAGATTGGTTTAATGGCGGAACAGAAATTTGAGGCATGACTATAAAGAGCCAAAATGCTATAATCACAAATCAATGGAAAACTTAATAGGCAATTTATTAATAAAACATCATTATTCCATATCAGCTTGATAGATTTAAGATTTGTTACATTCAACTCAGGACTTTGTGGCAATAATTCATGGATCATGAATTACTTGTGAACTATTATATAATTATAACATTATAAGATATAATTAATGTTATACTGCGATATTATAGTAAAAAAAATTAATCTAAGAATTTAAAGGGATTTCAACAGAAAATTGCCATCATAGTTATTTACGAGTGACTTTTTTCAATTTACAAAACGTGCCTTTTGGAATTTAATTAAAATAAATTAAATGCAGATTAGAGTTTACCTGTTGCGTCAATCCAAACAGAGGCATAAGCTGTCCCTGCTGCATTTCTAGCAGTACAATTATAAATGCCATTGTCCTCCAAAGTCATTTGGCTGATAACCAATGTATTGTTTTTACTAAGCTGTTCTCCATTCTTAGTCCAATAGACCAGCACCTCAGGATCGCCACGCTCAAAACACTTTGTCTTAAACGTTGAGTTTAATGGAACAGAATGATTCCTAAGCTGATGATTTATATGTGGTGGAACTATGAATAAAAACAGAACATTACAAAACAAAAATAAGACATACAGTAGCATAATCACCGAAAATTTTCAACTACTGTTATAGCGCAGGCAAATTCCTTGGAAAACATTTTCCAGACTTCAATGGGGCACAATGAACCATACCTCCTAGACCTTGATATAATCCTGGCCACATTGCATATGTACTATATAAGAAGTGTTATTTAAGATCAACTAATAGATGTTGGTAGTGAGGCCAATATTAGAACTGACTTAACTATTATTTTTTGCAGTTAATTACTTGTAAATTAATTTGATAAAAAAAGAACATGATTAAATTATATATCTTGCATTTTACCCATGAATGAGAACATTTCACAGGATGATTATCACAAGTGCATGGTCATGGCAGGCAATTCAGAAGAGGTTATGTTATATGAGCCTTTATTGTGACTAAATCATTACAAGTGAGGTTTACGCTTGTTTCAATGCCATGGAGCCACCAGTTGGGATTGAGCATTGCTACCTCCCTAATACAAGTTTCTAATCTATTAGAAGATATAATTATAGTTTTCGTGGATTGCTAACCAATACCCATTCATAATTTTTTTTTTTTAGTTCGTGGTGGCTAGAAGCCTCTAAGAGATAACTGTCCAATGCCCAAGATCAGCCTCACTCAGTGAATTACGAGACGCAAATGAAACAAAATAAAACAAACCTAAATGAAAATCTGTAATTTGCGAAATAGAAATCTGTAAAAACCTCGAATTCTTCAAAATGCCTAATATTCAAGAATATCAAAGAGCTTTCATCGACAATGTACAATCCCCACAACTTAATGCATTACAGCTACAGCGCCAGCTAATATTTTAAATCTCATTTGCTCTTTATGGCTTGATGGTGCAACTCTTCTCACACATAGGTGACGCATTGATTTATTCATGAATGTAGTGGAGATTTTGCAAAGAACACCACGCAGAATTTTCATTTCTCACTTTTGCTAGTTGTTGACTCAGTAGGCTGCCTATGCAATCCAAATTACAGATTTCTACTTCACAAATCATTAACAGATTTTCTTTTCGTTTCGTTTCGTAAGTTACGGCAAGCCCATGAACACAACACCACTTAACCCAATTCACACCAGCAAAACATATCTAGTCAAACAATTTGGTTTAACTGAATGAATTTAACCATCTACAGAAAATGAAAAAACTATATAGGGTTCATTAAGGTTTCAATTATGATAACTTCTAACTGATGTTTTCATTGCATTAAATTTGAAGCCGACAAACCCCAATTAATTCGCCTCTGACCTATAAAGAAAACAAGTCGAAAGCGTGTGTAACAAAACATTTTAAAAACATGTTTTAGCTTATAGGTGTGAATGGAGAATATCACATCATCAAAGCTCAATCCAGAAATACTCTTAAAATAGATGTAAGTACAGAAACTGTATCATTGATTTGAAGTAGGGCTTAATTACCTTGAACACGAATGTTTACAAGAGAAGTAGAAGAACCTCCAGCATTTTCCGCCTTACACGTGTACGGACCTTCATCTTCCTTTGTCATTTTATTGAGGTGCAGAAATAAACCATTGCCCTGAAGTGTCTCATTCTTGAACCAGGTTATCTTTGGTTTTGGCTGACCCACTACAATTTTACAAGTCAAGTTAACAATTTCTCCTTCTTTGATGGAATTGCTTGCTGTTGTAATAGCTACTCGTGGTGGAACTGACAGGGGAAATGAACAGACAAAAAAAATTAAGTCAAAATCCCCTAAAGACCACAAGAAGACGTACTAACTGTGTTTCCTAAACTTCAATCATTGAACTTCTCTGTCGTAATTAAAATGCTTTCCTTTTTCACAGAAATTTGTACCATTTTTTGTCCTATTTTAGTTTGTACCATCTCCCTTGGCAAAATAAAATGCTACCACTGGTAATTCGGAGCACAATGCATGCACATGATTTTTTTTTTCCTAAAAAGATAATCCTCTCTTTATTACTACTGAAAATTGAAATTTTTCTTTGAAAGAGATCACTCAAGTGAAATGAGTGACCCATTATACCTTTATTGACTAGCAATTGATGTATGCCTTTTTTCAAGTCAAGTCAATTTTCCGTATCAAAGATAATTAAGTGTTAATATTATTTTTACCTACCTGGCTTATTTTCTAGGTTACTCCATTGTCTTTACTTACTTGTGACATACACATGTATGGTTTTATCTTTGCTTGTCTTCCTTTTAGGCCCTTTACTCTGCTGCAAAGTACAAATGTAAGTTCCTTCGTCTTCAGGTTGAACACGATTAATGAACAGACTGCCATTGGAAATTTGAGTGACTCTTCTCCCATTTAGTAATGAATTTCCTCCTTTCTTCTCCCAGATTATCTGTGGACTTGGTGTTCCCTCTGCACCACATATAATTATTCCAGAAGTGTCAGCAATAAGGCTTTGCTTGTCTTGCACATTCTCTGTAAATCTTGCTGTGAGAAGAAATATTGAAAAGAACTTCAAACAATAACTGCACTAAGTTCTCTTAGTGTAGTCTTCAGTGTTCATTTACTGCATGCTTAACTTTCTTGCACAATAGCTGGTTACCATATAATTTACTTAATGAAAATACAAAAGAAAGAATAAAGGTTTGCCACAAGTTGAAAGGGAATTTTCCTACCATTGATGTAGACGGTATAATAATGAACATATTCCAATCTGTCGCATTCATATGTTCCTCCATCAGACAACTGTACATTGTCTATCGACAGTTCACCATTTTCTTTAGTCCTTCTCCTCTGAGAAGTAGAACTTTGCACTTCTTGGTCATTGAAATACCATTTTGCAAAATTTGTTTTGTTATGCATTGAGCATTGGAGCTTTTCATTGCTGCCAATATCAAAATAAAATTCATCTTTCTCCAAAACTTGTTTGTTCTCTGAAAGAAATGATTTGATTTATTAATTTGATGAAACTTTTTTCATATTAATCCTCTATACTCTAACATCAGCGTGCATATTCTCCATGCTGATCTTCACATATATTTTAGATGCCAACAAAACTATCATCAAATTAAGAGGTTATGAGAAATTTGCATCACCCTTCAACCTATTAAGTCTGAACCTACCCCCATAGGATAAAGTTACATAAGCCTAAAGTCAAGTTACGTGCCCACAAGCGAAGTCATGTTACCTCTAACAATTGACGTCACCTCGAAACAATTCAATTTTAAGTCATACCAAACCAAGTCATGTTATCCCTAAACATGTCATGTCACCCCAAACCAAGTCATGTTACCCTAAACAAGTCATGTGACCCCTAAACGAGTCAAGTCACCAAACCAAATGATATGTTATCCCTAACAAGTCCTGTCACCCCTAAACAATTCAGTTTTAAGTCACAACTAAACCAAGTCATGTTATCCCCAAACAATCAAGTCATGTCGCCCCAAACCAATTTATGTTAACCCAAACTGTCATGTTACCCCTAAACAAGTCATGTCACCCCTGAAAAAGTCAAGTCACACCAAACCAAGTCATGTTATCCCTAGACAAGTCATGTCATCCCAGACCAAGTCGTGTTACCCTAAACAAAGTCATGTTACCCTAAACAAGTCATATCGCCAGAGCAAAGTCATATTACCCCAAACCAAGACCGTGTTATCCCTAGATTATCACCCCATACCAAGGCAAATTGTTACCCCAAACCAAATTATGTTACTTCAAGCCAAGTTACGTTAACCCTAAATCAACTGAATTGTGTTGACCCAAACCAGATCATCTTTCCCCTGTATCAAATATTTTACCCCAAACCAAATCATGTTATCCTTAACCAAGTAATGTTTCCCCAATCCAAATTGTTACCCCATATTAAATCATGTTTCCCCAAACCAAATCATGTTACCCAAACCAAATCATGTTACCCCAAACCAATTAAATCATGTTACCCCCAAATCAAATCATGTTACCCCAAATCAAATTCTGTTAGCCCAAAGCAAATCATGTTTCACTAGAGCAATATGTTACTCCAAACCAAGACATTGTTGTAAAGCTAAGCATAGCGTGAAAAAGCGTGCATACAATTCTGAAGTAAGCTTTGATTACATAATTACAACCGGAAATATGATTCATGTGTAACCCTTTGTTAGAGTATTCGTGAAAATATTCCTAAAAACACGTAGGAACACTAGTTCCGCAGGATCTACGAAAGTGCCCTCCCATATCTGTGAAATTACGGATACGTGGTAATTTAAAGTTGTTTATTCCAAGCGAAACTCGTATTATCTTCTGTATTTTGTATCGTGTATGATTTAGCTACCATTATGTATATAAGAACCTTATTCAAGCAATAAAGTAGATTCAGTTGATTGTAAAGCAGTTGAGTGTCCTCCACCCGGTGTGCGAGCTCGCGTTAAAGCCAGCGTTTGCCTAAGCATCGAAACAGCTCGACGCTAACCGACCCTCGGCCGAAATTATACTACAACATGTTACCCTAAACCATGTGTCACCCGAAACATTACCCCTAAACAAGTCACGTTACTCCGAACGAAATAATGTTACCCCTCAACAGAATTAGGTCATGTCACCCATAAACAAGTCATATTACCTCTAAACCACTCATTTTATCTTAAATAATTCATTCATGTTACCCAAAACCATTTGTAATCTCACTCCAAACCGAGTCATGTTACTCCAAACCAAGTCATGGTCCTACAAACCACCTGAATTCGTGTTACACTCAAACCAAGTCTTAGTTGGCACAACTGCTAAGTCATTTTGTTTTGTCTCTTGGCCCTTATTGTCATTTGAATTTTGATTTAAAACTAATAATACCTGTAACTATGTTTTGAACATACAATCACCTGTGCTTCAGACACAGATTGCATGTCACTGGGGGGCCGATTTAAATCTACTTTAATTTCTTAAACTTAGAAGGGTCAGTCAGTGAAGGGTGATAGTTTAAATGGCTTTTACAATAAATTTCTTACTTGGTTGACACAATGCTTGAGAACCTGTGCCATATCTCTGACATTGACCTCGGACATTTAACTTTCCATCAATACGAGCGCAAGATGCAAGTTCTAACTCATTTCCAGTACAGGAGACATTTGCCATTACAAAAGGAATGTCCTCATCCTTAACGTCTGACCCAATGAACTCAGCCAGTGCCTCTTCAAAGCCAAGTTGACGACAAATTACTTTAACATCATTGAAGTCCCATCGACTGGGGCAGATCTTTCCCCATCTCCCTTTGTATAGTACTTCCACTCTTCCACCATACGTCATGTTTGAACCACTTAAGCGAACAGGAACTTGGGATATTACAAAAGTCTAAGCAATTACAGATAAAAAGTTCTATTCTGTGTTGCTTATCTACAAAAACGGGAAACTTGGGAAGGATACCATGGCTTAACGGAGATAATTTTCATGATTACCAACCATTAATTTGGTCTATATATATTGAAACTCCAAGCCAGTATTTGGGAATCAAAAATGAATGGCCATAGAGTTTCTTTAACTGGGAAATTGAGTCAATGATAATCTTCAGTACATCCAAAACATGAATTATGGGAGCTGTTCCATTCATTTGATAATTTGGAAATGATAATTTTAATAAAAAGATCTTAAAAGAAAAGTGCAACTCATTTAAGTCTAACAACTTGAAATTCTAGTTAGATAGACTTCAAGGTGTTAGATATTTTGGGAAAAGGATTTAAGTAACATAAGATATTTTCAGACAATATTTGACAACTTCAAGTCTCAGTAAGGTGTAATCAATTAAACATTTTACCTTTGCAAAATTGCGATTTGTTAAAGTTATTTTTACATGTAGTCGGAATGCTACAGTTGTGAAGAATAGAAGTCTTTGAGACACCGTCAGTGTCTGTAAACCATGTACTATTATCGTAGGTACCGTTATGACTATTAGAGTAGCCCATTGCCATGCAGGTCAAATGTTCTTCCACCTCATCCCAAAGCTCGGTACAAAGCCTTTTCCAGCTGCTATTTGTGAGAATTTTCATTATACCAAGAGATGGGTTTGTGTCTGTTTGAAAGCGCAGTGGATATGCTAATGAAGAAGAACAAATTAGGAAACCACTTACTCAAACAGCAAGAACAAAAGGAAGTCCATCCACATTGTATATTTTACCAACTATCTGTAATCAGTGACAAGACTAGTGTTGACACATCAACCTTTCCCATCCTCTGTTACTTCAATTTTATCTCTTTTGCCCTTGTTATGTTAACTTATTCACCCCCCCCCCCAAAAAAAAATACAGCGTTGTATCGTGATTCCAACTTTTAGCTATATACAGGCAACAATTAGTAGTGAAGGGAGGCTCTTGTCAATGATTAAGAGTGTGGTAGGACTGTTGAAACACAATGTGTCAATCAATTTTGGTGCTGATTGTGGATTTTAATTATTACCTTCCTGGCAACTGGCTATACTGCTACATTCCATAACAAGTGCTCTGGTCCCATCACACGGTTTTCCATAATATGGTTCTGGATTAGAACATTCTCTGGTCCTTGTTTGTATGCCACCAACTGTCTTAGTACAGATACTCCAAGAGCCCCATTTTCCCCATCCACCGTCCACTACATATACAAAAAAGAACCAACCTTTTTGTTTATTAAATAAATTAAAGTAAACAAATGCAACGTGTATCTCAACTCATTAACCACCACTAATCCCGTGCAATTGCCTCCATTTGCCTCAAACACGCAAAACAAATTACGCCTGCTCTGCAGACTAAATCCTTAAGGGGATGTGGGTGCCCGGGGTAATATTATCCTTTCTTGCTCAAATGGCAGTACTTCTGTATGCACTATAACAATAAGCGCTGTTGCATTAATTGGATACCTAATAAAAAGTGTCAAAAGCGGTGGCCAGTGAAAACGCCCCATGATTTCAGCAAACTTTTTTTCCTAGCAGGGCTTGACCACTTATCACTTAGTGCACTGTTTAGGGCGATAAAAACTGTCAGGAGTATTCTAGGGTTTCCACTGTATCCAACCAGCCCCTAAATAGAAAGCCACCCCCATGGTTGGTAAATCCTTGCAACCCACCTATGAGTCCTCATTCCAGGCACCCTTCAACACTACGAAAGGGGGTGGGAGAGCACTAGCGGAAAACTACTCAATAGTGCTCAGATTTGTGGCTGCTATAAAACTGCTTGAGAAGTCAAAGTCTCACCTTTAACCAAGTTACAACATTCTATGTGAGCTTGAACACTAATGTGAAAAGCCTCCTTGGTTCATGGTAGTTAAATTTGTTTAATTGACATTCAATAATAACTAATAAGTTCAATAGCTAAGAACTTACCCACAACAAGTATATCTGTGAGCTTATAATCTTGTCTGTTGTAAGCCGTCAGCACACATTTGTACGCACCACTATCTTGAATTTGAGCATTTGTGATCTTTAGTGTTGCCTTCACCATGTTTATCGTCTTATCTATGACATTTACAACTTTGCTGTCTAGAACAGGTTGATCACCAGAGTTACTCAGCTTTTTCCAAGTCAGTTTGCTAACTGACCAACCCAGAGCCTTACAAATTATTTGTCCTGTCTCACCCCGCTGCACAACAATTGGCCTTGGTGGATCAAGTGTAATATCTGGCAATTCACCTAATGAAAAAAAACTACTGCTTTTCAACTGGATGCTAAGAAAAGAATATAGTCCAACCTCTACACCTTAGAGACAAATCAAAATTTTCAAATTATAAGCAAAGCTGAAAGAAGGGGTTGCCATGGGCGGTTTATATGCATCACTACCATTTTTCATACAATGCAAATCTTGATGAAGATGGGAACATTGGAACAGTTGCTGATCCAGGATTTTTTGCCGGAGGGAGTGTACCACTATGGAATGACATGCCGTATTTATTCATCTATAAGCCGAGCGATTTTTTTACAAAATTTTTTTACCAAAATTTCGAAAACTTGAGCTAGAAAAGGGTTCTCGGCTTATAGCCGAGTGTTTTTCGAAATAGTTTTTATTTTTTCGAAACAGCAAATTCAAAGGAAACATATAGATATATTCGTCTATAAGCCGAGATATTGCATGCAGAAGTAAACATGTTCGTCAGTATGGTCTTCCACATCAGCTTGCAATGTTCATAAGCTACAATATGTTCAAAATTTTGCTACCCACATTTTTGCAATGTAAAGAAGTACGATCATATTTCTTCCACATTAAGGAATCTACGCTGGCTACCGGTAAAGTCAATCCTGTACAATCGTGACGCTACCTTATCATTCAAATGTAAAACGGGCCAAGCGCCTGAATATTTGACATCCGAGCTTGTAACAAGAGGCAGCGTATCTGGGCGTATAACGAGGAACTTTCAACAACTCAACATTCACCTTTTTAAAACTACAACAGGTCAGAGGACCTTTTATTATAGAAGTGTAGCCATCTGGAATAAACTTGACTCAAGATTGAAACTATGTGAAAAACCAGCTTCTTTTAAAGTGCTTCTACGACGAAATTTTGATGTTGTGTTTGTCACAAAGA